GGGCTGGCAACATGCGGTTGGGTAAAAAGGGGAGTTCAGAAAGGTCATGTCATAGACATGGGGATGCGGGAGGAAGTGAGGGGTCTTGCAACATGCTAATGAACGCTTAGGGAAGGGAAGGAGGGGAGTTCGGAAGGTTCACGTCGTATAGGGGGGGGAGGGCTGGCAACATGCTAATGGTTGGGTAGAAAGGGGAGTTCAGAAAGGTCATGTCATATACGTGGGGATGCTGGTGGAGGTGAGGGGTCTTGCAACATGCTAACTAACACTCGGTGGGGGGTGGGGGGCGGGGAGGGCTGGCAACATGCGGTTGGGTAAAAAGGGGAGTTCAGAAAGGTCATGTCATATACGTGGGGATGATGGAGGAGGTGAGGGGTCTCGCAACATGCTAACTAACGCTTAGGGAGGAGTTCGGAAGGTTCATGTCGGGGGGGGGAGGTCGGGGGATATGAAGAGGGGTCGCAAAGTGCTTTCCAGTTCAGATCGGATGGAAGGGCAGGAGGAGGATGTGAATGGTGATGACGTGGAGGGTGATGGCAGTGGAGGAGGAGGAGGAGGAGGCGGAGGAGGATGGCAATGAGGGAGGAGGAGGGCGATGGCGAAGGAGGAGTAGGAGGGGAGGTGGCAGCAGAGGGGAAGGACGACGAACAAAAAAGGAAAAAGGTGGAAAAAATAGAGCAGATGATGGGGGAGGAGGAGGAAGAAGAAAAAGAGGCAGAGGATGGCCATGGAAGGGGAGGATGACGAGGAGGAGGCAAAGGAAGCAGCGGGTGGGAAGGGGGACTGGAAAAAAAAAAGGATCAAATTGGGAGGGAGGAGGTGGAGGTGGTGGAGGTTGAGACGGGGATGGCCATGGTGGTGGAGAAGGATGGTGATGGACGAGCAGGACGAGAAGGGCAATGGTGGAGGACGAGGGTCAGGATGTTGATGGCAGAGAAGGGGACTGATGCTGATCACGAGGAAGAAAAGTATGTTTTCCAGGGAATCCTCCAAGATGCTTTGGCATGCCCAGCGTTACGGCTCATATCAAAACCCTACTTCAGATGCATGATCGAATTTCCCATATTTGGCGGCAAATGCCAGGCAGATAGGATGTCGAATACTCCGGTCATACATTATGAGACCTGCTGAAAACAGTGGCAGTCTGACAATTTCACACGACTTATCTCGACTACTCTGAGCAACTCTGAATCACACTGTCTTGCCCACCGAGCTGGGACTTACACACACACACACACACATATTGTTTTTTTAGTGGCTGGCTTTTATCGGTAAACGATGAAAAAGAAAAACAAAGTGGAAAGAATTTCTCCAAGTGTGAAGAGTTGCGTATTTTCTGACATCTGAAAGGAGAATATTTCTTACGCACCAAGAGAGAGATGTGCTGACAAGGTATTAGAACTTGCTATGCAACTGCACTCAGGCCACCACACCCCTCATGCGACTTGCTTTTATTTGCAAAATTTGCACTTTTTTTGCGGGCGGAGCCGCAACAGTTAAGCTAGTGTTAGATAACTCTCTCTCTCTCTCTCTCTCTCTCTCTCTCTCTCTCTCTCTCTCTCTCTCTCTCTCTCTTGCGTATCTGAGCGGTGGAGGATGGAGGAGGTCCGGAGGAGAGAGGAGGAAGAAGAAGAGTCCTCCCTCTCTCTCTCTCTCTCTGCTGGGACCGGATACTGACCGAGTAAAGGTATTGCCTTGACGTTGTACTGGAGTGCTGAAGATGATGCTGGAGCTATGGCGCCCCAGCTGACTCATCAGGTAAGTCCCAGTGTCTGACCTCCGCCTCTATCCTGCTGCAGTCTCCACTACAGCCTCCACGCTCGTTGCCTCCAACCTACCGCTACTGCGGCCAGTGCTGATGACTAATACAGCAGAACTCTGAGTACTAGCTCACACTAACCTACCGAGTGAGAGGCAGACCGGTCTATAAATACTACTGGGCTGGCCTCTCCTAGGTCCTACTGGCCTAAATGTGAGGCCCAGAATGAATGGCCTGGTAAGCAATCTGGCCGAACACTTCTGGCCGATCAAATCTGATGGTTCACAAATCTGGCCGAACAATCTGGCCCAGAATGAATAGCCTGGTACACAATCAGGGTTTTTTTTTGGAGTTCTTGTAGAAACACGAAGGCATACTCCCTGCTTTTGAGGACATTGATTTAAAGCTCGAGTACGTTGCACACGTCGTTTTGATTCTCGACCATGACGAATTAATTGATTCATTGTAGGCATATGTGTGGTTTTGTTTTTTGTTAATTAAATTAATGCAACTGACAGGCTTCGGTAGTGCCCAAACAATCTGGCCTGGTAAACAATCTGGCCGATCAACGCTGATGGTCCAAGTGTGGCTTGGGTTAAAAAATGAGGCCAGGGTCGTTACTGGAACCAGGGCCTGGCCAGGCCGAACGTGGTGCGGGCTTAAAACGGCCCTTTTTCTGGCCTGAACCGACACAGGCCCTACTTCGTGCCACAAAACTAATGTCTCAGCCCGAAGCTAAGCCCCTACCCCTTCCTACCTACCTGGCGGGTCCTACTGGGCCCGTTTGGGATCTACATATGCCACAGAGAGAGAGAGAGAGAGAGAGAGAGAGAGAGAGAGAGAGAGAGAGAGAGGTCACTGACTGAAAGACGAGCCTACAGAAAATGGGAATGGTCAACTAGTCTAACTGTTGAGCAGATATGAGATGCTGGTCATCTGTTAATTCATTAACAAAAAGGAACGAAGGGTTGATGTGTGGCCCTTGATATATATTCAACAAGGCCTGCATTAGGCACAAAGTCGAACCTTCGTGGGGCCACCTTCCACTTGACGTGGGGAGCCCACCTGCCCTCCAAGGAGCTTAATGCCTGCTCTCTCTCTATCCCTCTCTCCCCCGGCCCCCACCCCCGGCTGTCTTGTTTCCCCTACTGCTGTATATGCTGATAGGTCAGGAGAAGGGCATTTGCTCGTGCTTGGTGTGAATCACCAAAGCATTGGTGATTCATTGATTAGCTTAATGATGTAATGACTGTAGGAGATGGGCAGTTCGCTGTGGCAGGAATGGGGTATTAGTGTTCCTTTCTAAACCTCGGAAGCAGGTATTTGTATGTGGTTGGTGTGAATCTTCTGTAATGGTTGTTGGAAATGGGCACGACTTTGAGGTGGGTGTCATTATATATCCGAGAACGTTCTCAGGAAAATGTTCTTGATTAAGCTTCCATTACTGATACATGCTCTCTCAAGATCATTCTGTCCGATGGCTTTTCCACAGTGTTATTTGAGCATGATAGTGTGAAGGGAGATTTTGGTTGATGGGGGTTGGAATTCTATCCCTGGTGCATGCTGTGGATGAATATGTTGCTGTTGTGAATGGCCATAGAAAACTGACAAGAGCTGGAAGTTGACTGATGTGGCTTCGTTTTTCCCTTTGTGTGCAGCGGGAATGCCTAGCCTTAATGAGCACTTTGTACAAATGTGCCCTTGTGCCATCCGTCGCGGCAGTGTTGGCACGTTGTCTTCATCGTGTCTTGCAGCTGGCTGTCGATGCAACTGTAGACGCTATGTTGCAGTATGATATGACGACTATGCTGTCTAGGATAATGATGAAACAGCATGAAACCCACAGCTTGGTTAGAAAGTCAGAAGCGGACGAGGCTGAAGTGGAACCTCAACCAGCGGAAGCAAAGAGAACATACAGGTCGAACTCCTTGGTAGCTGATCAGTGGTGGCAGGCTCGCACAACTGTTTTTACTCTTTTTAAGGACTACATTGCCCTGTCCGACGAGGCGCGTGTACGAGCCGGGCAAAATGAGACGGCTATCAATGTTCTCTTTGAGCTGCTCTGGGAGCCCAATGCACGGAAGTTCGCACTTCGGCACATATTAACCTTTATGAAGGTTTGTGTGAACAATCTTGTTAACCAGTTGTACTTGGCGGTTGTACTTCATAATGGTGCTGGTTTTTGTCAAGAGTCTATGACCGGAAGCCCCAAAACCAAAACTTACAAGAGTAGAGACATTCATCATAGACAAAGTATTCGTTAGAAATTGCAGAAAGTTCAGAGTGTCAACAAATGCGCGAATCTGTTCTGAAAACAAACCTTGGATTTCTCATGTGGAAAGCTGTGTGGGTGATCCGAAATTCACAAAACCACTATCCAGATAAATTGACCTACACAAAGATGGCAATGCATCCCTTCTTCTCCACCCGAACTTGGTGATTCTTCTTACTTTTATCTCCTTGAACCTGAAGTACAGCACCCATGCAAACTTGAGAATGGAAAATAAGTCATCCCGAAAACTTCGGTTGAACAGTCGTAATAGACCAAAATGGCTGGTGTCACCAGCTTAAAACAAAACAAAAAAAGAATGTTGCGCTGGCATTTCGCCACAGTTTTGCGTGCAGGGGAATTCACCTTGGCAAAATGAGGCTCGGATGAAGTGAACCAAGTTTTCACCAAGCTTCAGCTCGCATTCATCAGTGAACATTCACACGAGGGTTCACACATGAGAAGCCGAAGCTGAGATACAATCAACACATGGAAGTCGTCACCGAAAAATTATCATTATTATACAAAGAAATGTTCGTCTCCAGCGGCTCTGCTGCACACACACATGCAGAACTGATCCCAACTGGATGACGGCTGTAGCTTCTCTCTCTCTCTCTCTCTCTCTCTCTCTCTCTCTCTCTCTCTCTCTCTCTCTCTCTCTCTCTCTCTCTCTCTCTCTCTCTCTCTCTGTGGCTCATCCTCAGTCTCTACCCTAGATTGTAACCCTGGATACACCCACTTGGGTAAGCTTCACCCGTGGCGGCTATGGCCGCCCTCCATATCTCCAGGCGCGAAGTGCCCAAGTTGCCTTAAGGCACAAGCAGCAGAAGTGCTTCCGTATCTTGTAATTGAACAAGAGCCGCTGCACTGTGGCAGCCAAATATAGGAACTGGACGTGGGTTGTCCTGCTTCGGATGGCCTGCTTCCGTGATGAAGCTTGAGGCGACTCGCATCCGTGCAGCCGAACAAGCAGTAGCAACGACAGCAGGCCAGGACCGCAGCAGTGATCAACCAACTCCGGATGGCCGCTTGCACGACAATGCAGCACCGAGAGATGGATTATGCTGTAATAGTCAGAAGATGGCACTTTACACTGACGGAAAGCAACAGCAAACTGACGGAGGCCGATAAGACCAAGGAGGACGTCGGCATGATGATTGCACAGCTCGTTGCAACGTGCAATTGGCCAGCAGGACCTTCAGCGCATGGCGTGGGTGATTGACAGCAACCGGGACCAGCAAGATGGCACCAACCGCGGCTTTCATACCCGCATCGAAGACTTGGAGCACTTGGACGCGCCACACCAGGCAGTGAATCTCGTACCCGCCAGCCGTCAACACGACAGCTGGAGCAGCGGATCGACCATGTGGTCGCGCGCCACACCAGGCAGTGAATCTCGTACCCGCCAGCCGTCAACACGACAGCTGGAGCAGCGGATCGACCATGTGGTCGCCACAATCGACAACCTTGGCACGTTCGTGGAACCAGCAACGATCAGTCAGAAGATTGACTCGTTGACAAGTGATCTCCGTCGCTGCAGCAGCAACCATCAGGTAGTAGCGACCAGCGTCCGTACAAGATGCCAAACTTCCACATTGAGAAGTTCAACGACTACACCAAGCAAGACCCGTTTCTATGGTGGCATGCCTTGCTAGCATCCTCCTACACGTCCGGGGAGCATGCAGATGTTGCAAGTCTTCGCCATGACTTCGAAGACTGCTCTGTCCAGCTGGTTCCTCCGTTGGACCTACACCTCCACGTGCAAGACTCATGCGCATGTGCGATTTCATCACTGTTGGCAAGTGACCCAACTTCTTTACCGTCATTACTATTTTTTGGGGATTCGTCGGTTTGGTTGAGACTTAAGGACCTCAAGCCGTTGACTATGGAAGACTTCGAATGGTTGCCTCTTCCCGGGCTCGGTCCCTTGCGAAAACCGCATTGCAATGCTTAGATGACAGAATTGCACAAGTATTTGCACGCTGTAGTACCAGCTCCGTTGACGGAAGACGGAGTAGCGGTTGTTGACCTTCGCGAGTAACTTGTGAAGATTGACCGCGAGTACGCCACACAATGATACAACGACATCGACGCACCTTTGCTCTACATCCGCATTCAGTTTAAGAAGACGGAGGTACTCGCAATTATATCAGCCAAAACTTCATGGCACGTGCTGGCCTAGGGCTGCGGGTTTGAAGGAAGTTGCAGCCCACACAAGTCACATTGGCACAAGCACAAGTCCATTGACCGGTGCATTGACGAGGTGATTGTGTACTTCGCCCCGCACGCACACAAGGGCGTGTCCTTCGACGTCTTGGACACAAGGTTCGACATGATCTTGGGCATGTCGTGGCTGTGAAGTGAGGACCACCTGGTGAACTTCTATTGTCGCACCGTTCACATTCGTGATTGGAACGACATGCTAGTCCCATGCACGGTTCCTCCACCTCACCCTTCGATTGGTTGTCACCTGGTTTCCACGGCGAGCATTCGCAACTCCATCGCACGACACGACGTTGAAGAAATGAGCCTTCGCTTTTTGCATGTCATCCCTCATCCAGACGAGCCAGCATCGGAAGCGCCATCGAACCCACGAATTGTAGAGCTTTTTGATTCCTTCGGCGACGTCTTCAAAGCCCCTGCCAGAATTGTATCGGATCGGCCTATCCACCACGAGATCATCCTCGAGGATGGGGCCGTACCTCTGCGTGGCTGTATCTACTGCATGAGCGAGGTGCTTCGTAGCCCCTGCCAGAATTGTATTGGATCGGCCTATCCACCACGAGATCATCCTCGAGGATGGGGCCATACCTCTGCGTGTCTGTATCTACTGCATGAGCGAGGAGGAACTTGAGGTGCTTCGTACACAACTCGACGACCTCATTGCAAAGGGATGCATTCGCCGTACTTGCTCGCCCTATGGCGCACCCGTTCTTTTCATTCGGAAGAAGAACGAGGACTTGCGGCTATGCATTGACTACCCCAAGCTTAACACGCAAACCGTTAAGTATGCAGGCCTGCTCCCGCGCATCGACGATCTCTCGAACGTTTAGGCGGCGCCATGTACTTCTCGAAGTTGGATCTCAAATCCAGTTATCACCAAATTGAGATCCATCCGCGAGATCGGTACAAGACCACATTCAAGATTCGATATGGGCACTTCGAGTGGGTCGTAATGCATTTGTCCTCGCCAATGCCCCAACCAGTTTCCAAGTGGCAATGAGGACGGAGTTCCACGACATGTTGGACCGGTTCATGCTCATCTTCCTCGACGACATCTTGGTTTGTAGCTGGACCTTGGACAAGCACCTCACGCATCTACGCACCATTTTGGAGAAGTTACATAAGGCCAAGTGCAAGGCCAACCGAGCCAAGTGCGAGTTCGCCCAACAAGAGTTTGAATATTTGAGTCACTTTGTGACGCCACAAGGCATCCGTCTGCTTGCGGAAAAAATTCAGGCCATCCAAGACCATGGAAGTTCGCTCCTTCATAGGATTGGTCGGGTACTATCAACGCTTCATCAGCTGATATGCACGGATTGCCCTACTCTGTCACGACTTCAGTCTCAGGAGGTGCCCCTCCACTTCACCGACGAAGTCCAGAGTTCGTTCCACAAGCTTAAGACGACGATGCTCATGGCTCCCGTTTTGAGCATCTACGACCTCACCTTGCCTACCAAAGTGACTATGGACGCTTCCGGCTACGACATTGGTGCAGTTTTGGAACAGCACGACGACATAGATTGGCACCCGGTCGAATACTTCAGCCAAAAGGTGCCCCCCATTAACTCGCTTGATGATGCAATGAAGGAGTTGTTGGCCTTCGTCACAGTACTAAAACGCTGGAGATGCTTCCTCCTCGAGCGTCGTAGGCTCGCTTGGGTAACGGACAACAACCCATTGACCTACTACAAGACGCAAGACACAGAGTAGCACGATCGAAAGATGGATGTACTTCATAGACTAATTCGACTTCACGCCGAAGCACATCTCGGGTCTCACCAATCGAGCGGTGGAGGCTCTTTCGCGAAGAGCTGATCTTTGGGCATTGATCCACCACGCCTTTGACTTTGACGAAGACCTATATCAGCATTTTGAATGCGCATACAAGACAAATTCAGACTTAGCCACTCTCTACAAGCAGCTTTCTTTGGACCACCCGCTGGCTAGCCACCACCGATTAATTGCTTCTCCATTCGCCGGGCAAGGACTTGCTATGCTTCCCACGAGACCGTCGATTATGGACTCGCCTTCTGGGTGAGTACCACAATTCGCGGCTCGCAAGACACTTCGGAGTCAACCGGACGATTACTCGACTTCGCCAACGATTTCGATGGTCCAACGTCATCACCGACATCATGACTTCACCAACGATTTCGATGGTCCAATGTCATCACTGATATCATGAGGTTTGTCGATGCAACAAGCCCCGCAACGGCAACCCATACGACAAGTTGTGTCCATTGCCAATCCCTTTGGAACCTGGATTGGACGTCACCGGACCCTTCCCACGAGATTGCCTCGGGCACAATGATGTCCTCGCAGTCATTGATCAACTGAGTAAATATGCATGGTTTCTTTCTTGCAAGTATCATTCCCACGAGATCGCCTCGGGCACAATGATATCCTCGCAGTCGTTGATCGACTAAGTAAATATGCACGGTTTCTTTCTTGCAAGTATCATGCGACCGAGCTTACAAGACTCTTGCACACCGGCTGGATTTGCAGCCATGACATTGCGGAAGACATGTTGGAATTTTGGGCATCCCTCATGAAGGAATCCGGCATCGAAATGAAACCGAGTTCAGCTCGGCACCCACAAACGGGCGGGCAAACGGAGCGGGCACATCAAACCGCTCAAAGGGTGCTTTGTACGCTTATCTGTTCGGACCAGAAAGATTGCGTTGACCGCCTTCCCGACATCAGATTCATTCATTGCATCCGGTGATTGGAGTAACTCCCTTCGAGTTGCACCACGGTGGTCGGAGAGGTCGTATCTTTGCAGATCTCCTATTCCCTCGGGAAGCAGACATTGGCGCCCCTTGCTCTCACGCCTCCGTTTGGAATTATCGACACTTGCTGGCGAAAGGCTGAAAGCCACCGTAAACATGCAAATTGCTCAAGCCCGCATGCAACAGGAAGCTAATCGGCGTTGCGTGCCATGGCCTATCTGCGCAAGCGATCTTGTATGGGTTTTCTCTGAGGAGTTCGCACTTGAACAAGATGCCTCGCACAATCTCGTCCTCAAGATGTCCCGTGCAAACTCCTCCCCCGATGGCCCATCGTTCGTGATTGACATCCCGCCCGCCGCATCTACCGGTTCACCCGGTCTTCCACGCCTCCAAGTTGGCTACATACACACCAGCCAAGAGCGACGACTTCTCGAGCCAGCGATCACAAGACCCTCTTCCATGGATGGTCACCAGGAAGTCGATCGGGTCGTTACGCACCGCAAGTATGGCAATAAGCAAATGCAGCACAAGGTCACCTTCAAGTAGTGCGACTGCGACGACACACGATGGATTTCACGAACAGACTTGCAAGCTTCCACACTGCTTATATTTGCAAATTATGAGAAGCAACGACTAGCCAAGGAGGCTCCACAACCTGCCCCTCCCACCTGGACTTTGGTCCCTCCCTCTGATAGACAGCTTCGCCCTTGCAGGTAGGCCCGGTCTTTCAAGGAGGGGGGGGTTGTGGCATACTCAGATCCACACGGGACCTGCAAGGCCCAACAGTAGGGTTACGGGTTTCATAGGGTTTAGGGTCTATCTCACCCGTAGGACCCAGTAGGCCGCTATCTCGTTTTTGCCATCTTCCCACTTTTTGCATTGACCAGACCTATGCAAATTGGCGCAAGGCTTTTTGTATTTTTGCCTGGTTCCTACTTTCTGCAAATGGGCGCCTGACTTTTCGTATTTTCGCCTGGGCCCCCACTTTTTGCCATTTTTGTTTTTGGCGTTAGAACCGACTTCTGTTCTTGGCGCCAGACCACTTTTTTTTTCGACCAGACTGTTAGCGTATATATAGCTCGGTCAACCTCGTTTCTAGGAGGTACTTCCTCAGGCAGTTCACTGAGGCAGTGCTAGGCGCTTCTCAGTGGTAGCTCTGAGGCAGTTGTGAGTAGTTTTCAGTAGTCTACACTGCTGGGCACAATTAGAGTAGTCTACAGCGCTGGGCGCTAGCTAGGAGTTGGCGCACTGTGCTGCACTGCAGCGAGAGAGAGTGAGAGAGACGGGCCGAGGCCAGGACTTACCTGCGACGCCATAGCTCCAGCTTCGTGTTCGGGACGTCCACACCTGCATCAAGGCGGCACCATTTTGCAGGTTAGTACCTGGCATACATGCAGAGATAGAGAGAGGATTTCTTCTTCTGCTTCCTAGCCCTCCTCTTCCCCTCGGGGTTCTTCTTCTTCCTCTTCTTCTTCTTCGGCTGCTGCTGCTGCTGCTGAGATGTGTGTGTGTGTGTGTGTGTGTGTGTGTGTGTGTGTGTGAGAGAGAGAGAGAGAGAGAGAGAGAGAGAGAGAGAGTTGACATTGAGGCTTGGTGACGTTCGGGCATTGCCCAGTTCAGTGACATCACGACTTGACATGGTCTGAGCAGCGACATTGGGAATACATTGGAGACTGGGTCCATTGGGCTATGGTGACTGATCCTCCCTATCTCCCTCTTTCCCCTTCGTCTCCTCTCCCTCTTTCCGAGTGATGACGTATGCTGTCAGGTCCTGTCATTGTCCATTGTGAGCCAGATCTTGGTATTGTTTTGTCTCTGAGAGGTCGATTCCTGGTTCCGATCAATGCCGATTAGGCATGCGACAATTGTCAATGCAGATATTGCATGCATTTCAAGACTATTGACATGCAAGGCTTGTCCTTTGTGTCCATGCTGCTGTTTGTCTATGAAAGCGTGATGATGTTTCTCATTGCAATCAGAAGGATTTGACTGTTGCCTTTCTTTATGTGCCTGGTGCATGATTACAGAGGCTACCCCAGCTTGGCGAGGATCGGGCAGTGAAGTTAAGTCTGTTTGGAAAGTACTTGGAGGCTTTACCTCGGGCACAAGTTGAATGTCGTGGAAGTGGTACGATTGACATTTTGAATGATCTTCTTGAGGGTATTCAAGATGTTCTGCAGGTGGATTTGAAGGTAATTTCAGAATACGAGTGAGAGTTACAACTTACAACACAATACGAGCACCATACGAGTTTCTCATGTTAATTGTTGCGAGTCTTAGACAGTTGGGTTTTTGAACTTTCTGATGTTTGGAAATAATGCGCCATCTTGTTGAATGCCAGCGAGTTTACTGACCAATTGTGTGTGCAAGAACTCCCTAGTGAGTAGCAAAAACCATTCGAACAGAGCAGTCTGGGCAGAAGGAGAGAGGAAAGACGCAGCAGTGAAGATATAGGAAGGAATAGGATAGATCGCTTGTGCTGAGAGATAAAGGGCACAGCAGTCTCGACCTCGCCGAACAGAAATAGTCGTCAGTTATGTGCGACTTTTTACTTCTGAAAGTAAGGCACGAGTCCTGGACTCTAGCAGTTATACAGGAATAGTCTGATCCTAAATTTCCGAAAAGGTCTTGCTAATGTGCCACAGCGGTGCTCAAGCATCTCAATGCGTTGATGGTCATGAACTAGCGGCTCATTGATCTTGGTATTCGCTGTCTCCAGACATGAAGGCCTTCACCGTGGGTCCCTTAGCATTGGGAGCGGCTGGCAGACTGTACTGGAGGGTCACTCAGCCGCTTAAGGTCGAGTAATATGATGTGTGGCCAGATTTAGCAAAGTGGACGAGTGGCAGTATGTGAGGCCCAACAATGCGGTTGGCAGGAGGCAAGCTGTGCATCCGCTTGTGGCTAGTCTAGCATCCAGTGGCACTGTACAGAATCAGAGGTTAACCTTAAGAACTTGTATGAGCGGGTTGAAGTCGTTGAAGTTGTCATCAGGAGTTTTGCAGAATGTGAGGTAACAGGTATTTCCACAAACATATTCAGGTGCAATAATAGTACAGTGTATCAAAATCCTGCATCCTTTCAAAAAACAAAGAGCTAATATAGGTGACACTATAATAGTGTCTTTGAAACAAGCACGAATGGGTCGCAACACTCAGAATGTGCTTAAACCTACGGAAAAGATGGCAGTTATGTAATGACCTGACCAAACACGGACTGAGACACACAACTGGTTTCTGAGTTTTGCTCATGCACTGAATGCCTTGCCGAGTTTCCAGCTTGTTACTGAGTTCTCTGTGTGTATGCACGCTTGCTGGTCTGCTTGTCTGTCTGACGGCTTGTCGGCTTGAGTGTGTGTGTGACCCGCAAGGGCACTTGTTCGTTCAGTGGGCCTGAAGGGCCGGTACTTACCGGTGGCCGTGACATTGAGGATTGCAGCGGGGACACTTGAAGCAGTGGAAAACACTCAAGTAGTGGGTAGGCCGGTACCACACCAGGTCGAGGTAGATGTGCCAGGTACTTGAGGCCAAGCAGAAGAAGACAAAAGTTGGCATTTTTAGAGGCCCAGTAGTTGTAGGCCAGGTGTAGGCGGGTACCAGTCCAACCAGTCTGAGTCTAGGGCCTGTATGGGCAATATCAGAGTCTGCAACGATGTTTCCCTCGGAAAGGGAGGAGGTACCAGTTGCTTGGAGGCCGTGCGGCCTAGGAAGTCACTCGCCGAAAGGCAAGCAGGCCGCTATATCTCCAGGAGGAGCCAGTTGCTCCTCCTCATTGTCGGTGTGCAAGTTTGGCGACACACTGGTTGGAGTGCTGACTGGAGCAGCGCTAGCACTCAGCTGCGCTGATGGGGAAGGAGCAAGGACACGGAGGAGGAAGAAGACCAGGACTAGGAGCACCAGAGGTACTTACCTGGCTATGTTGGATGCCATCTTCATCACCTTGGTGGGCTCTGCAGCAGGAAGGCCCGGTTGGGGCAGAGCTACACCAAGAAGCTTCAAGTGAGAGTCACACATGGCGGCCTGAGCTAGAGCAGCCATAGCTGCTTTGTGTTGTCCTTTGGACATCAGAGCGATGCCCTGGTAGTCCGCTGTAGCCCCGGCCTATGAGGAAGAGAGGGAGAGGGGCGGCCAGGCTATGGACCTCAAGTGATACCTGCAGTAGACGAGGGACTCGGACATTGATTCTGGGTCAGCCATTCAACATTGTGATTATTATTCTTGTTTGAATAAGAGGGAAGGAGATTGCAACGAACCTCCCAGTTCAACACCAATGAGACCACACATTCACACCACTTGCATGCATGAGGTCACACGAAGTTCACATTGAAGACCAGGGAGATTAAGACCAGATAGCGCAGGCGAAGAATTCCAAGAAGTTATTATACAATAGCAATAAGAGTTCCTAGTCACCAGCGTTTGTCAGCGCATGTCAACGGTAACCATTATCAAACACAAACTTTCAGGTAAGTTTCTTCTTCCGCCCTGCTCTTCTCTCTCTGTTGTATCACCCCTCCTTGCTGGTCTTCTCCCTAGCTTATGACCTCGCTGTATCTTCTCTCCCTACATGCATACACACTTCTACTCAAAGATCTACTCTGAATACACCCACTGTCAACCCTACTAACCCCTCTGTAGTCTACTACTAAGAACTAGCACTAACCCTTCTGCACTGGCGCAGCTATGGCTGCCTTTTCCCTGCCAACGATATCTCTTTCTCTCTCTCTCTCACTTAGCGCAGCACTCTGGCCTCAGCGCTCTGCTCCTCACTTCAGTGCACAAGTGCACCAGCACTTCCACACTGCTTGCGAAAGAGCAATCTGCTCGAATGTGAGGCTGGCCAGTCCTTTTGTATTCTTGGTTTGCACTTCAACTCGTGCCAGCCTCTGTTTTGAAACGGTATTCACCAGTTTGCAGTAGCCGATGCAGATCCCAGGGCTCGATCCCTAGTCCTCACCTTACCTGTGTATAGTATCTGTGTCGACCCCTAGAGTTGAACCCGTGACTAGTGTATTGTAACAGTTGGTAGACTGTAGTAGGGTCCGTAGGCAGTAGGGGCTCGATCCGTAGACCTGTCGGGTAGGAGTCCTAGCAGGGTCTAGAAGTCGTAGCTGTAGTTCTCCCGAAAGGTCAAGGTCGTAGCTGCTACAGTATCGAAAGGCCAAGTCTACGGCCTTTCGGAAGGTCCGAATAGTGGCCTTTCGAAGTTGCCCATGTTTAGGCTGAGGCAAGTGGGCAAGTTGTGGAGTCTACCCGTGCTGAGTCAGCAGTCCCAGTCCCAGTCAGTCCTAGTCCAGTCAAGCAAGTACCGCATGGGACTGTGTGCACTACGGGCATGGGAAAGGGCCAGACCAACGAGCTGCAGAAGTATAAATCAAAGGGCAGCGCCCAGCCATTCATTCATTCCTGCGTGAGCCATGCGGAATCGCTGCCACAGCGACTTGTACAAGGTGGTCTGCAGTGAGCCCGAGGACGAAGTGGGCGAGAGAGAAGAAGCTTAGCCATAGCAATAGGGTAGCAGCGGCCATAGCCGCCATAGCTGTAGATAGCGTGCGGAGTACGTGTGTACAGAGTAACGCATGTGGGATATCCAGGGTGATCCTGTGTGTGCGAACAGAAAGTTGTGTCGGTGCTGTGTTGCCATAGCCATTGAAGTGAACTTGTATCTGAACTGTATTATCGGCTACCGTATCTTTGAGTTCTGAGTGGGCGCTTGTCGCCAGTTTAGGCTACCTGTTTGCATGCATGAGAAGTGTGAAAGATAGCGAGAAGTGAACTTGTATTTTCGGCTACCTGAGTGGGCGCTTGTCGCCAGTTTAGGC